TTTTTGACTCATTCTTTTATAAAAAATTATTTAAAGGCTGAAATATTTGAGGTTTATCTTTTTATAAAACCTTTTTTCTCAAAACTTTATTTGCACTTTTTAACTCTGCATTGTTAATAGCAATACTGCACTTTATTTACTTTTCAAAGGCTTGTAAGCTAGTTTGCACTGTTTCAATAAATGGAACTAATTTTCTCAACACATCTTTGATTCATTTTGTCCAGCATTTGAAAGCTGTAGATACTCTGTCCAGTCAGACATATATTGTGTAATTGATGTTTTTAGTTTTCAGTTCAATTAATTCAATCCAATTGAACACTCACAAGATGTCACCAAAATCACTCTGTCCCCTTTAAATCTTTCAGAAAATGATGTAAGTGTATCGAATTATATCGAATCGTATCGTTGGCTGAATATCGTGATATATATCGTATCGTGAGCTGAATATCGTGTATCGTATCGTATCGTATCGTGAGATTAGTATTCATCTATTTATTTATGTATTTATTTATTTATTAATATGTCAGGTCTGGCATTCCATACACGTAACATCTCTTTTTTTGGACTACAAAAGAAAGAAAGTCATAGAGAGTAAATAATGCCACACGTTTTATATTTGGGTCAACATTCAAGGTGGTTTAAGGGAGTTTTCACCACCATCTACTTGAATGTAGTTTTGGTCCTCACATGCTTCTCAGCATAAGGCTCACCTTCTGTCTACAGAATCCTCAGCATAGAAGAGGACGGACAGTGCAGTGTGTCCTCCACTCCAAAGACTAAGAGCGTCTCTCAGAAGCCCCGTATGCAGCAGAGCGGAATGTGTAACGCTCTAACGAGCACAATGACAAACAAAGGGTGTGAACGATTAATTCACTTAGTTTTGCTGTGTGTGTGTGTTTCTACGATTACAAAGATGGGTCAAATTTAATTAGCCAAGTGATTTTTCACTGGAATGAGATGCACCGAACGTGTGCAAACACTTAAGAGTTGTAAGTTGTCAAGCTAACACTTCAGAGTAGGGCTGCAACTAGCAATTGTTTTAATAATCAATTATTCTCTTTTTATTCCAAAATGCTTTACAATGATTTACTTTTTATCAGCAAGTCTCATGCTCACCAAGGCCGCATTTAATCAATCAATTGTGAAATATTTTTTTTTTACAATTTAAAACAATTGTTTTCTTTTAATGCAATTTAATCCTGTGATGGCAAACCTAAATTTTCAGCATCATTACCCCAGTCTTCAGTGTCACATGATCCTTTAGAAATCATTCTAAGCTGATTTGCTGCTCAAGAAACATGTATTATTTTCAGTCATGTTGGAAACAGTTGTGCTGCTCAATATTGTGGGAATCAGGATTCCATCAGGATGCTTTGATGAATAGAAAGTTCAAAAGCATTCAACAACATTTACCTGAAATAGAAATCTTTTACCATTTACCTCAATCATTTACCTCAAAGAGGTAAATCAATGTAATGCATCCTTGCTAAATAAGTATAACTTATTAAGTATTATTCTTACTGAGCCCAATTTTTTTAACAGTAGATTACATGCTGTCTTACTCAAGAGATTCTAAGATATTGTTCCATTTCTACAGGTTAATAAAAACATTTTTTATAGATTCAGTCATGCAATAAAATACACACAAAACAGTAGCCGTGTGCCTCATCTGTCTCTTATATTGCCAGTCTCTGAAGTCCACTCTGAGTCAGTGCATTTTTAGTGCACTGGAAGACTGTATCTTGGCTTGCCTGTGACATTGTAGAGCGTGCAAATGTTTGTGCGTGTGTCTGTGTGTGTGTGTGAGGAAGTTTTGGGCAGGAGGGGGTGGGGGGCAGTCTGCCAGGGCCTTTGGGCGACATATCGCCATCTGGGAGGTATGACCCTGAAACGGCAAGGTTTCCGTGGAAACTGGCTGTAATAAAATCATGGCTGGGGTGCAGCAAAGGGCAGAAAGAGTAGGAAAACGGGTAGAGTCAGAGAGCGAGCAATAGAGAGAGAGCGGGAGAAGGGGTTGCTGTCAAGTGCCCTGTTTGGAGCAGTAAGCCTGGCATGAAGGGAAGCACATTCAAGGTCAACTAAGAAACAGCAAAGGGAAGAAAAGAAGGAAAAAAAACATGGGCTACAACGATTAGGGTATTTAATATGTCGATATTCATGTGCTTCCATTTTTTAATGAATCACTCAAAAAGACACAAATCAGTCTGAAACTCTTGAAATATCAGTTAGAATCAATCACTGATTAAATCAGAGACGTGTTATTGTGTTATCTGTTGTGCTCCAGGTGTTTTTCCAGGTATTTACAGTACATGTGTAAATATGTAGGGCTTGTGTTTATTGATGTATCATTGTTACACCTTTGATTGTGGTGTTCAACTGTTTCTCTCTCTCTCTCTCTCTCTCTCTCTCTCTCTCTCTCTCTCTCTCTCTCATATAAACATTGCCATTGTTTAACTGTTGCATATTTTTATTATTGTATTTATTGTAATATTATTATTATTTTCATCATATTTTGTACTATTACTGTTTAATTAACATAATCTAAGGCCATTGTTTTGGTTTGTTTGGGGAGGGATTGAAAATGTAAAAAAAAAAATACAATCTCTGTACAAACAATAGCATTTGTCTTTGAAAAATAAATAAATAAATAAATAAAGTGTTATCAAATTCTCAAAATAATTTTCTCATCTAACCCAGATTTCTGTTGAACATAAAAAATGACTTTACAAAATTTGACAGGTGACTTTTTTCCATGTATTATGAACTGGATTAATTGGAAAGATCGAAGTAAAAAAAAAAAAAAAAAAAAACCATCACTCATGATCCCTCATGAACCTGCCAAATAACAGCTAGAACGGAAGCCAAGATTTACAGTGAGTAATGATCACTTTGTATCAAATGGCTTCAGAAAACTTGGAATATAGGATATGAAGTCTCGCATGGCCAGACCTTCAGACTGACGGCAGAAGGTCTGGACTCCATAGCAGCTTTCATTGGCCAAGGACCGCCCAGAGGCAGTTTCACTGACATGTAAAGCAACCAATCACATTTCATTTTGTCCCATGTCATGTTTAGGGGAATGAAAATGTAACGTTGATGCCCCTACAATAACAGAGTGTGTAAAACTCTTGGTCATATTCTAAAGAGTCTATGCTGTGAACTTTACATACTTCACATACTTTTAAAAAATCCAGCGTTTAGTTGATCTTGATAAGCGCTCAGTGTCAATGTTGTAAACACAACAGCTTGCTTCTTCCATAAGGGGGTTTGGCGTCACGGCATCTTTATTTCCAGGCGGACCGTTAAATAACACAACACGCACGTCTCCTGAAAATCCTGTAGAATTCAACCAATCAGATGACTACTTCAAAACTCCTGAAGAGTTTCCAATTTTGTGTGCCGTACGTATCAGACGTTTAGCCAATGGTCTGTGGGCTTGATGTCTGAGGCTGAGACTAGGGGCATGGCTAATACAAACTACCTTTATTTTTGTCTTATCTTTTTTATCTTTTGGATGTTCATACACCAACATTTAGTCAAAGATATACACAATAACAGAGTTTTGTCCTACTAAAAGGTCATTCATTTTGGATTTAAAATATCTCAATCTCACCAAATATATAGTTTGGTTCAATTATTCTTAAATTACTAAAATAATCATTAAGGAACTGCAATTGAATGGGAATGCCCATCCCTAATGAAGAGTTCTAAGAAAGACTGAAAAAGTGATGCAAAGAAAAAGCGAGAGAAGCAGGTGCAACTGTGTTGAATTTACATGCAGACGCTAATAAAGAAACATAAAAAAAACATATCTTGCACACTACACTTTTCACATTGGCTAATGACTCAGGTGTGCTTGAGACTGGCTGTCTGCAATAAACCTACACTTCGTTCAATTCCAGACAAGACTGCAGCAGTACACAAGGGAAATGTTACACTGTTATGCCTTTGTGATGTAATTTTAGCTCATAATTCTTTATTGTATAATGTGCAGTCACTCCACAAGAACAGCAGAGGGTGTAGCAGTAGAAAGACATCGCTGCTTATCTCATTTGGTTTTAGGCAGCCAATCTGCCCAAAGGCTTTATAGCTAACAATAGATGTCATGTTGCGCCTTAGGGATGGTGATTCTTCAAGTGGGGGGGGGGGGGGGGGGGGGGGGGGGGGAGGAACAACCACACACACCCAAAACAGTATTAGTTTTGCAATGCTTTCATTAACAAAAAAATGGCCGATATAATTGATGAGCCGCCACTGGACACAGATTGTGTAATGCATTTCAAACAACAGCAATTCCAGACCAACTACTTTGTCATCGGAAAATAATTTAGTAATTGTGGCATCCTGACTACAACAGTCAGACGAGTAAACAATACATGCTGGGCGGAAGGTGATGAAACAGTGAGAGTGAGCGCTCAGATGTTTCAAAGTGCTCTATAGAGAGTCAGCAAAAGGGAAGCTATTAAAACCACTGAAGACCTGTGAGAGAATATCATGACATCATAATGGAGCACAAATCTGCTTTTCTCTGCTGCTATAAAAGGTCTTGGGAGTATATATATATATCAGATGGCAATATCCGAAATCCTTGGTTTTGTGGGGGCATTTTTTGGTCCCCATGAAGAAAACCATACTATGTTTTTTGAAAATGTAAAAGTCTTCTGTGATGAGTATGTTTAGGGGTAGGGTTATGTGTAAGGGGATAGAATATACAGTTTGTACAGTATAAAAATCCTTATGTCTATGGAAAGTCCCCATAAAACATGAAAACACAACATGTGTGTGTGGGCCCTATCAAACACCTGGCACAATGTGACGGCGGGTGGAATCCGGCTTGTCCCCGTAAATGGTCTGCTTGTGAGCTTTAATCTCGCGCACGAGAAGATCCGTTTCCTCGCTAGAGAAGCATTCAGTCTTTCCGCTTGCAAATTCCACCATGTAAATAGCAACCCGCCATGGTGTAAGCGCAACTGTGTGTGTGTGTGTGTGTTTTGACTTACAAACTCTGCCGTAGCTCTGCTGTATCTCTGGATGTTCCCAACGATTGAAGATTTTTCTCTAGTGTTACCACTGAAAAGAAGAGCCAGAAACTTCCATGTGCATTTCATTTTGTTACTTTCACTTCAAGCCATCCTTTTATGGCTTAAAATCAAGGTCAGAATATTTGGAGGCTTTTAAAACTCACCGTTAGCATTGATCTGAAAGATGTTAGAGGAGGTTTCCTGGAACACATCTTGAAGCTCTGAGGGGCTGACTTGTGTAGCTGTAGGAGAAAGAAGATTAGGGTTAGTAAACACAGCGTTTAAAGTTGATGTGTGTGATTTTTCTAAATTAATGATAATAAAACTAATAGTTCAGACTCTGAAATCTGCTTGGATGAGCACTACAAAACAAAAAAAAAAACAACAAAAAAAAACATACGCACACATCAGTTTAAATTATTATTACCGATAATGTGTACTGATAAAGTGGTTAAGTAGGATTAAGAAACACCCAAAAACTAGGGCTGGGCGATATGGCCTAAAAAAAAAAATCCCCGATTTTTTCACAAAAAATCCGATTTACGATTTAAATCGATTTTTTTTCTCTCCCTACTTAAAATCAATCTGCAGATGACAAAGCAATTGTTCAAAACAAGTTTTAACTTTATTTTGTTTTGATATTCCCTTCTGGGATATTATCTGGATTAAAGTGTAATCAGAAACAACAAGCCAAAAAGACAAGAGGGCAGGCCCAGTCTTTGTAAATAGTGTAAATGTAACATAACATAAAATGGGTGGATTGGGGGGATGTGTAAAAAAAAAAAAACTTGCATCACAATAAGTTTATTGTGATTGTCAAATTATTTGGTCTGCGCTTTTGGTCTAACTAAACATAATTGTATCAAGTTTATTAACTATAAACACAATGTTTACATGGTACAAAAAGACTGGTATGCTACTGTTTTTATTATTGCTTAACACAAATTTCAAATTTTGTGATTTTGATTCTGATATTGATTCAATATCAATTCCTTTGGATAAATATTAGGTACAGTAGATACGTTAATGTTTTATGTTAATTGTTCTCCAAAAATAAATCACCTAATGCTGTATACAGAGAGCCCTGTCAGCTATTATTATTAAAGGTTAAAACTAACTCAAATTAAACAATGCGTTTTTTATAATAACAAACAACGTTATAATATTTTAATGATATAGGTAAAATATAATAAATGTGTAATATAGTTATCATATTTAGCAAAATACTCCTCTCTATAGCAATTATTTTAAGTCCAACTAACATGCGTGCTATGGGTCATTAAAAGGCATCCTGAGGTAGGCTAAATGTAACGTTACGTGACATATGTTGTTCTCCAGCTGTTTTATGGACATCTTTCCGCGGTTGAAAAACACTGATCGATCGATTTTATTAGCTACATTTGGGTAAGTTAGTAGGCTACTTAGTAAAGAGTAACAGATGATCGGTTCATGTGCCGCTTGAACTGAGATCTGTCAGCGATCTTTCACGTCACATTTACAAGCGCCAAAACTGTCTGTGTTTATTGTTTGAATTTCGTATTAAAATTGACCGAATCTGAGAGCTGAGAATCTGTTTCATATCAATAGTAACCTGCTCTGTCTAGTCTGTCGGTGTCAGTGTCCTCTTGATCTTTTCTGCGCGATGTTTCTCTGCGTTAGAAAATGGATGTGTGCGTGAGAGCGTGTAAAAAGTGACAATTGCGTCTCTCACAGTGAACTCGTGAGAGTTGGCTGCCCTGCAGATTCAGTTTGTAAATGTTTTCGGCGGGTGTGCTTCTGCTGCCGCGGTCTTGTTCATTTGCCATGTTGTTTGTATATCTCTATCATGGCAAGCGCTGAGCCCGGTCGGAACTACGGGAGCCCAGATTGGCGCGTCGGCGGTTGTTAAAGAGAAAACCGATTTTCATTCAAAAAAATCGGCGTAAACTCGCGTAAACTACACATTCGAGTTAATCGATAAAATCGATTTATCGCCCAGCCCTACCAAAAACCTAAGAAAAGTAATGGTTTTCATTCGTTTTTTTTTTCTTTTTATTAAACCCTTACCTGCGAAAAAAAAAAAAAAAAACACAATTACAAAATGCCTTGTACATGATGATGTTTTTTCTTTACTTAGTTGGCACCCCCTACTCATGAGGGCCTCCATATTTCTGCTAAGAGAAGCCAAACAAAGCAGAATCAAAAACACACCATGTTTCTGGACAGAAGCAATGCTTAAACAGACTGAGTCGTGAGCCACGCAAATGGGAGTGTGGGCACAGCCATTTTCTTCATCAAATGCACGTATCATGCACACCCTGGTAGGAAAAGGTAATAATCATCAAGAGCTCTTAATCAAAATCAATTGCACAACCTCTGTATCGAAGTACAACCCACAGGCCCCGCACACATACACATAAATGTGTCGTCTTTGTGCTTTTGTCTTCCTCTGCCCTCAAAATGACTGTAATTGACGTGCTGTTTTTCACAACTCTTCATCTGTGCCCTAATGCACTTGCACTTGAGAGGGGAAAATCGCAGGCAATCTTTTGCAGATGCATATTCTACTCTAAGAGAGGGTTTGGACTTGGTACAGGAAGCAGGTGAAGAGGAATATATATATATGCATGTATGGTAACACTTTACTTGAAGAGGTGTGCATAAGACTGACATGACACCTTCATAATCATGACATGACGACACATGTCATGAATATGAAGGAGGTTTTATGCATGTTTATGACAACTGTCATTAAGTGTCATTTGCTCAATTATGAAATTTTGAATGCAAATATGAAATTGTTTGAGATGTTTTTGTTATGACAACTTGATATAATAAACCAATACATCATAACCTGTCAGTGTCTTGGTAATGACAACTTGACATTAACAAGACAACATAAATTGTCATAAATATGTCATTAACATGACATAGCAGATTAATTATCAAACTTAAGAAACCACTTAGCTTTATGGGTTAACATTACAGTAAACTGTCATGTGGTTGGTTTTGACATTGGCTGTCATGAGGCCAGCCATTATAACTGTGTCATGAATATTTTTCTTGACCTCAACTACAGTGGTACAAATTGAATTTGTCATTAAAATGTTATAATGGCCTCATGACAGCCAATGTCAAAACCAACCACCTGACAGTTTAATGTAATGTTAACCCCTAAAGCAAAGTGGTTTGTTAAGTTTGATAATTAATCGGCTATGTCATGTTTATGACATATTTATGACAGGTTGTGTTGTCTTAGTAATGTCAAGTTGTCATGACAAAGACACTGCAGGTTATGATGTATTGGTTTATGTCAAGTTGTCATGACAAAGACACTGACAGGTTATGATGTATTGGTTTATGTCAAGGTGTCATAACCAAGACATCTAAAACAATGTCATATTTGCATTACAAATGTCATAATTTGAGCGAATGACACTTAATGACTGTTGTCATAAACATGCATGAACCCTCCTTCATATTCATGACATATGTCATGTCATGATTATGAAGGTGTCATTTCAGTCTTATGCACACCGGGTCGTTGCGACGTTCGTCTGTTATAGGACAACTTAGTTTGAATAAACGAGCAGACACTGATTAGCTACTTGCTCTACGTTTATTTTAAATTAACAGCAAGACAACTAGCAGTAAAGGGGCTTTCCATTAAATGAATCACACACAGTAAACAAATCCTTAACAAAAAAAAACAGGCCTTTCTTTGTCAGTGTCGGCTACAAAGATGAAGTTGACGATGCTGACTCGTGATCTTCGCAGTAGTCAACGCGCCAGAGAGAAATACACATTTCATATGGATTACATAAGCAGAGAGCAGTCTGTAGTCTGTTTTCTTTCGGTTTAAATTGTTCTGTTTAAAAGTAGACATGTCTGTGAGGCAAGTAGGCTACCTTATATGCTGAGTTTCGGTTCATTTATGAGACGAGCTCCAGTTCACGCGCCGGTGCCTCCGTTTCGTGATTATCTATCGTCTGCTATATTTCTTATTTATTAAATCCAGGCAATTGGTTTATGAAACATTGATTAAAATGAAGATACAATTAATACAAAACGAAATTCACTTTAAAGAAAGGTTTTGTGCTTTCTGTTTGATGTCTCTGTGAACGTTTTACTCTGTGAGATGTGATTAAATGTCATGTCTTTTAGTGGCGCTTTCAGACCGGTCACATATCACATATTTTTCTCATAAATGCGAACACAAAACATAAAATAAAATGAATATTTTATGTTCTGTGGAGACTACTGTTACTCATAATTTGCATTGTGAATACGTAACGCCGGTACATGTATTCCATTACTCCCCAACACTGATATTAGTATAACCTTATCTGCAAGATATTTTAATAACATGGTTTTGGTGGTTATAGAGTTCTAATGACGGTGTTCAACTATAACCGTCGGTCTCACGGTTATATAATAACCGTCACACCCCTAGCCGAAATATATAGCTGAAACATGATGAATTATGTTAATAATCACAAAATGGGGACTTCTTGACATTGCACATGTGACTAATAGTTTAGCATGAGCAGATTAAAAATAAAATATTTTAATGTAGGTGTGAATTTTACATGACAGCGAAAAGCATATGGCATTATCTATCTGACTGCTTCCAGACAGATGTGCTTGTGTTTATGTGTGTGTGCACTACAAAGGTGATAAGCTGTTCTCAATGGATCATTTTTCAGGGAAACAACCTTTTGTGCCCTTACTGTTATCTCCACTGGCCTCCAGCTATGCGCACCCTCTCATACTCTCTCCTCCATCATCGTGATAGATGGATGTTCCATATTCATTCCACTCTGCATTGAGCACTATCCCTCCATATGGGGTGGGCTAAGAGGGGGAAACACAAGGGCACTACTTCCTGTGAGTATGTGTGAAGACCCAGCATGATCCCTCTCAACACTTTATGAGACCTAAATTCACACACAACGATTATTGTGTTGGGAATCTCTGACATTTTTCCTATCGCCCATGGTGCTATTTGTCTATTTGTTTTTGCGTCTGTGCCACAGTCAAAGAACATTCTAGTGGTACCATCTAATGCCGGAACATCTCAGAATTGAAATATAAGAAAAATAATTTTCATACAGAATGGTAATCACTTTTATTCTTTTAACAAAGCAATCAAATCATTTCTACATGGTGGTAAATGAAGATATTAAATGTATTTTTATAAATAAAAACATACTCAAAGTTATTTTCTTGCATTTCAGTATAATGCCAAAAAACTAAAATCATT